AGAGGAGCCTCTGTCGGGGGAAACTCAGAGAAGTGAGGGGTGGCACGCTGCCGCCCCTCGACATTGGGAAGGCAAGGAGGGGCCGGGGACGGTGGCAGGGGAGGCAGTGACCTGGGGAGACCCGAGAAAAGGAAACGAGAGTGCATGCCACGAAGGCGCTGCATCGAAGGGTGACCAAGGCGGTGGTGCCAGAGGACCGTCCGGTGTGACAGGGTGCGACACGAGCAGGGGGCGGACAACTGACCTGACGCAGACGCAGACGCCGCTACCTGAGGGGACTCAGTGGTCAATGTGTACAAGTCCGACCCCGGCTGCCTAGTGAAGGTAGCCAGGTGACGACCCGTCTGGGCACACGTGCAGTGTGTCACACGCTCGTAGGCAGGGGTGAACTGGTGAACACCCGCGTCCTGGAGCGCAGAACCTGCCACCAAGTTCGTAGAGAACGAGGGGAGGTAAAGGCCCGTCAGTGTGCCGGACGGGACAGCAGGACAAGGGAGGGCAGTGGTGGAGGTCGCAAGGACCGGACCCCCTGAGGGGTCAGCCAGGGAGACAGCAACCGGCCTAGGGAGCTGCTCGAGGGCAGTGCAGTCGCGAAAGAAACAGCGAGAAGCACCTGAGTCCAGTGTGAAAGTGTGCAGTGCCTCAGTAGACTCAGTACCTGAAGGCGCAGACTCACAAGCACCTGAAGCAGCAGACACACCTGCACCTAGAGCAGCAGCCTCACCAGGACCAGGGGCAGCAGACGCACTAGCACCTAGAGCGGCAGCCTCACCAGCACCTGGAGCAGCAGACTGGATACCGGGGTCAGGCGGCACACACAGGTGACAGGCTCCCTCGGCACTAGTAGACAATGCATACATTGCAGTGAGAATAGCATGATAGTCAAGAGCAAAGATATCTACCCTCTGCCTAAGCAGCTCCACCCAGTCGGGAAGCTCAGCGTCGTCGCCAAACTCTGTACGCCAAGCGTCGCTCAGACGGGCGAAGCAGCGGGACTCTGTGTGACCACGCGTCCCGCAAGGCTGACCAGTCCGGACACCCGTGCTAATAACGTACGGGCAGCGAGCAGTACTCAGCGACCCTCGACTCTGAGCGTACCACTCACGAAGCTGCTGGGGCGAAAGAGTCTCGCGCGGACGATGCTGCTGCTGCACCGGGCCACTACAAGAAGCTCCCGAACTACCCACTCCAGGACGACTCCCACTACGGCCACCCCGACAACCCCAACTGGCGTACCACTCACGAAGCTGCGGGGGCGTGAGGGACACACGCGGACGGCCCTGGAGCTGCATCTGGCCACGCCAGGAGCAGCAGTAGAAGCAGTAGCAGCAGGAGTAGCGGTAGCAGCGCGGGCAGGGCAGTGCTCACCAGTGGTGGGAAGGGCAGGCGCTCGGCGGAGGCGACTGCGGGGCCGCTACAGCGGCAGGGCGGGGCCGCGACCGCGGCAGGGAGCTCCGCAGCAGCTGCTGCAGGGCGGGGCGACGACTGCGGCTAGGGGCTTCGCGGCAGGAGCTGCAGGGCGGGACCGGGCCGCAACGGCAGCTGGTGCAGGGCAGGGACAGGGCCGCGACGGCCGCTGCTGCAGGGTGGGGCGGGGCCGTGACGGCAGCTGCTGCAGGGCGGGGCAGTCCGCGACGGCAGCTACGGCAGGGCGGGGCAGTCCGCGACGGCAGCTGCTGTAGGGTGGGGCAGGGCCGGGAAGGCAGCTGCTACAGGGCGAGGCAGGGGCGGCCGTCCAAAGGGCGGGCGCGGGATAGGGCAGGGCGACGCGGTGGGCAGGGGCGACGCCGCGCGGGCCCCGCAGGGGCGTCGCGACGAGCGGGGGCGACGCCCGGGTCCCGCTGGGGCGGCGCGACGCGCAGGAGCCGCGCCTCGCGGGTCCCGCAAGGGCGTCGCGAAGAGGCAGGGGCGACGCGCGGGTCCCGCATAGGCGTCGCGACGAGGCGGGGGGGGGACGTGCGGGTCCCGCAGAGGCGTCGAGAAGAGGCAGGGGGCGATGCGCGGGTCCCGTAAGGGCGTCGCGAAGAGGCGGGGGCGACGCGCGGGTCCCGCAGAGGCGTCGCGAAGAGGCAGGGGGCGACGCGCGCGGGTCCCGGCGGACTGCAGGCGCCGGCGTGCAGCAGCCGCGGCGCGCGGGTTACGGCCTGCGCGCGAGCGGCCTACGGGCGGCATACGGGCTGCCTACGGGCTGCCTACAGGCTGCCTACGGGCTGCCTACGGGCGGCAGCGGCCTACGGGCGGCGTACGGGCTGCCTACGGGCGGCAGCGGCCTACGGGCGGCGTACGGGCGGCCTACGAGCAGCGTAAGGGCGGCCTACGGGCGACGGCGGGCGACGGGCAGCCTACGGGCGGCGGCCTACGTGCAGGCAGGTCGCGGGCGGCTCGAGGGGCCGCGCGAGGCCGGTACGAACTGCGTGGGCGGCTAGCGGGCTGCGTGCGCACGGGCAGAGGACGACGCGCGGGCAGAACGAAGGGCGGGGCGCGCGAGGGCGCACTAGCAGAAAGAAGGCGCACGAGGGCGCACGAGCAGAGAAAGGCGCACGAGGGCGCACGAAAGGTAGGGCGCACGAGGGCGCGTCTAGCGGAATAGTGGGCCCGTAGTAGTAAGCGGTCCTAGGTGGCTAACCTAGGCTCGTGATACCATGTCAAAATCAACAAGAGTGATTGAACTAGGAAAGAATTGGGTACAAGTAGGAAACCCTAAACTTACTGTACCCCATAGTAACTACCCCACTACAGCCTAAACAAGCTGTAGCACATATAACATTTGACAAGGCCTGCCTCGCTGAACAACCCACTCACGAAGCTGCTGAGGGGTGGGGTCGTCCGGGAGAGGCAGTGCCCGCTGCTGTCCACCCCTGGCCGCAGCAACTGCCGCGATAGTGGCCATTACAGACAGCGACGGTCAGGAGGAGGTCCAGCACCTCCAGCTCCTCCAGCAACAGCAGCACCTCCAGGGTTGCGTGCGGCCCACGGGCTGCAGGGGCGACGCGCGGCTCGGCAGGGCGGCGCGCGGGCTGCAGGGGCAGCGCCCACGGGCTGCAGGGACGACGCGCAGCTCGGCAGGGCGGCGCGCGGGCTGTAGGGGCGGCGCGCGGCTCAGCAGGGCGGCGCCCAGGCTGCAGGGGCGACGCTCGGCTCGGCAGGGCGGCGCGCGGGCTGCAGGGGCAGCGCCCACTGGCTGCAGGGGCGACGTGCGGCTCTGCAGGGCGGTGTACGGGCTGCAGGGGCGACGCGCGGCTCTGCAGGGCGGCGTACGGGCTGCAGGGGCAGCGCCCACGGGCTGCAGGGGCGACGCTCGGCTCGGTAGGGCGGCGCGCGGGCTGCAGGGGCGACGCGCGGCTCTGCAGGGCGGCGTACGGGCTGCAGGGGCGACGCGCGGCTCTGCAGGGCGGCGTACGGGCTGCAGGGGCAGCGCCCATGGGCTGCAGGGGCAACGCGCGGCTCGGCAGGGCGGCGCGCGGGCTGCAGGGGCAGCGCCCACGGGCTGCAGGGGCGAACTCGCGGGCTGCAGGGGCAGCACGCGGGCCACAGGGGCAGGCACGGCTGCAGGGGCAGCACGGTCGCAGGGGCGAGTACGGCTGCAGGGGCAGCACGGTCGCAGGGGCGAGCACGGCTGCAGGGGCAGCACGATCGCAGGGGCGAGCACGGCTGCAGGGGCAGCGCGGTCGCAGGGGCAGCACGCGGGCTGCTAGGGCAGCGCGGCTGCAGGGGCAGCGTAGGAAGAAAAATTTTACGGTTAGGGAAGGGCGGAACGTTCGGTGGGCCCTAGGAACGATTCTGCTCTGATACCATGTTAGAATAAGCAGGCAGGAATGGTAGACTAGGTAGCATGCATGAGTACAAGTACCTAACCCTAAAGTGTTGTACCCCTTGTAAGCTAACCCACTACAGCCTAGAGATAACACAAACATACAGTTTGACATGAACCACCTTGCACTGGTGTGTAGGAGGAAGAGATTAATTATAGCAAGGTAATACAAAGGCTTTTATATGATTACAAGGAATATGAAGAGGTGCAACTAACTGTTTTGCTGTTGCGGTTCGATACAGTGACGACTCGGGCAACTGCTCAATACCGAGTCAGTTGTTTATCCTTGCTGTCGCGCTGTATTCCGTTGAGTCAAGGTCGCTGACCTTTGACCTTCCCGTAACCTCCAGCTGTTACTTTCTGTCAACCTCCTCGGTTGATTCGCCGTTGCTTCGCTGTGATTCGACTCGTTTGCATTTCGACACAACAGGAGCGTTCAATTACTGTTTCCAACATCCTCATCAAATTGTGCCAGTGAGCACAGTTGGTGTAAGCGTCGTCGAGAAGCAGGAATGAAACTAAACCTACGGTGTGGCATCGTGGATGCGTTAACCATAAATACCACGCGGCAATGCGTTCAGGGTTGATGCCTCTCTATGTAATCCCCTTGAAAAGAGGCTACCCTGCAGTGCTTCCTGCAAACCCATGCAGGGGTGCGTCATTACGATAATTAGCAAACTTCTTAGATGCTATGAGGAAAATACAGTAATATTTTCAAATTCATAAACCAACGTGGCAATAACATTATCGCGACTGGTGCTTGGAAGGATAACGGGAATGCAGCATCGCAGCACCAGTTGCACAGAGATGGGAGGCAGCAGCACCTTCGTGCAGCTTGTGGTGCGACAGCATCGCACTGACCTTCCTGGTTGGTGCTCGTCTTTGCGGTCAACCGCGCTGCGAGATGAGCAAAGCGTCCTTCCTTGCATCTGAAATGCTGGAGCCAGGAAGCTCAAAACCACGCGCACATGCGCGCCTCGAGAAATCAACCTTCGTGGCGGAGCATAAAGTTGATTGTGTTGTGGGATTCAGAAATCCCCAGACATTCACTGGTGGCGACTTCAGGTTCTACGTCTCTCGCGCATATACAGTTCTTGTATCGTGGCTCATGACGGTTTCACACGGTGTGAAGCGGCTCTCAATGCTTATCGTTTTGCACCGTCACGAAACTAAGTTGACTGCAGGGAGCTCACTGAAGTTGTGCAACCTGACGTGCAACAGAATCAGAGTAAGAGAACAACAGACAACCCATGCTGGGTTGATCGTGGCTGAATTCAACCTATCAACCTAATCTTCGAAAAGCGTGAACATAAATCTACGACGAAAAAAAACAACAAAAAAAAAACTGTTATTACCACTACTCAAAATTGATATCTCTTCGAATCATTACTTATTCGAGTAGCTTTCCCTCTCGGTCCCTCTTTGGTGACCTCCTGCCTTTCGACCGCAACCCAGGTGGTGAATCAACAGAACCTCCTCCACCCGACATTGTCGCTCCTTCACCAGCGTCTTGGATTTGCTTTTCCGTGCTTTCAACCCTTGGCTGGGTGAACGATCCATGAGAGGTGGTGGTTGGCGCGGACTGAGTGAAGGGCATGGATGATGGAAATGACACGAAGGGGACGGACTGGAAGATGGGAGGCGATGCAAGGTTTGCGAACAGGAGGGAGGCCAGGTTGGATGATTCTGTCGTCGTGTGCTGCATGTGAGGCAAGTGAGGCATGTGCGACACTTGCTGCAGCGCTTCGGCGACTTCCTTGTCAAGCTGCTCCTGTGGAGTGGAAAACTGCACCCCTGGGAGGAGAGCAACTGATGCGGTTTCATAGCCCGCTTGAGCGCCAGCAACTCCCGACGGCCCATCGTTCTGCGTGGGTGTAGACCACCAAGCCGCATCCGGGGTCACATCCACTTGATGGGACACGTCATGTGGGGTCCACGTCATCGCGTCGTGGCTCACTTGTTCCGTGACATCGGGATTATCATCTGCCAGCAGAAGCGCTTCCAACGACGCGATGGTGTGAGCCGATGGCACTCGAGCCACCGGCACTGACCCAAGATAACTCCAGGTCGGTGGGTTTTCGCTGCTGCCACTCGCAGTGATCGCAAGTTGCGGCTGAGCGTTCGCATTTCGTGGTTCCGTTGAGAAGAGTCCACTGTCAGGAACGCTCCCTCCGTCACTGTCCAACCTCATCCAAATATTACTAGCCTCCCCCGCACTTTTCGCTCCGCTGATTCTCCCGTCGTCTCCGGAGAATGTACCCTCCTCGCTGTGCCTGCCGACGATATCAGAGCTCGCTGTAGTAACCCGCGTCACGAATCTGCTACTACCATGCAGTAGATCCGCGTCATTGGGTCCCTCGCCTACAGGCGCCACATTCATTCCATCACTCTCCTCGGCAGCGGTGATGTCATCCTCCGCAGATTCCGCATCCACACCGTCATCGAGGGAGTCCGAAGCGGGCCACGACTTGGCGGATGCGAGTTCCTGCGGGGACGAAGGCAAGGACATCGACTTGACGTGGTGCGATGTTGAAAGCCCCTTCCTCAGATTGCCCAGCTTGCTTCGCTTCGCCGTGTCGCCCTGAAACGGGATCGCGTCGCGTTTGTAGAGGCGAATCACGACCCACGTGGACGTCCCCTGCTGCTGCTGCCGCAGGAGCTGTTGCTGCTGCTTCTGTCGCTGTATCGCCTGGGGAGGAACCCCAGCTCGTCCCGACGCTGCTTTCCTACCGCCCTCACTTGACTTGCCACTAACGGCGCCACCATGCGAAGCTTCCTCAACGGTACTACCGATCAGCGAGTCCGGGTCGTCACTAGGCTCTACGAGGCGGTACTCGTGCATCACCCAAGCCGTCTTTTCCCCCCGCGGCGCCCTGCCTTTGTAGACCACGTGGCCCTTCTTATACCCGACAATGCGGCCGCTTTTGGCATCTTTAACCGACTCGCTCTCCTCCCGGCCGCCTTGGGATTCGTTTCCCTCCTTTCGCGAGGCGTACACGGGCCGGTCTTTCCCCGTGGCCTTCCAGTAGCCGGATGACGTCATCCGATTGGCGCGCGTGCCCATGAGGTACTTTCTGTCGCGCGACGCGAAGAAGAACCACTCATCGCTACCGTTGAGCGACACCATCGCCTTTCCTGGAAGCTCCCACGGCTCGAATCCGTACATGTCAATGTCGCCGATCGCGTTCAGCGGGATGGGCTGGTTGCCGATTTTGCGGGGTAGGTAAAAGGAGAGGAGCTCCTCATCTGTGGGATGGAACCTGAATCCAGGTGGAAGCGAGCTCTCGCTGTCTTCATTTGTGGGCGCGCCAGCGAAGGACATTCCGACGTCAAGGCTCGTTAAAACGAGCAAGTATTCTCTGTCTGATTTTTGCAAATTCACGGCTTTTCGCTCAGCGGGTTCACGGAGGAGGCGGGGATAAGGAGACGTGAAGGGAGATTGGCGGCTTGTGTTTTAGCCGGAACTGTTGAACTACGAAATTCGATGCTTGGGCTATTTGTAGGATCTCGAAAATTCCGAGCCGCGCATTCTCCAGACAACGAGCTGCGCGATGTGGCAAACGCGGCTTCCAACGCGATTGTACAGTTCTTCATGCCGCGTACTAATGATTCGGGCAACACTGTCACCGTCAGAGATCTTGCTGCGCCACCGAATTACTGTTCAGCAGATCACGCGGTTGTCACACTACCACACAATGAAGCCTTCGCTAACCTCGTTATATTTCGTTTTTACCCGTAACTATGTCACAATGTACACGTAGGATCAAGATGACATCATTCAAAATTTGTACCATCATTCTTCACCTATATTCAAATTCATAGGCATGAAGTGTAGAGAAGTGCAAATAACGAGTACAGTTGCCGCTGAACAAGTATCTGATGGGAAGCTGTTCCTTGCCGCTGAACAAGACATCTGACAGGAAGGTGGATGCGGTAGGTAAATCAGTCACCTCTGTCCGCGTTACTGTCAGGCCTCTTTCGTGAAACAGGCCACTCAAATAAGTTACAATCGAAACACAACTGAGTGATACTTCGGCGCCTGCACTTATCTCGCCAATTCAGCCCTGTGAAGGAGGATGTCCGTACGACGTTTGTACGACAATTGAGCAGAGCAGCACCACCACCTCCACCACCACCACCACCACCAACTAGTTTCAGTTCAGGTGCACCTATTTTCTGCGCCAGCTTTGCTTCCGTGAATTGCGCTCCGATCTCGGATCTCCTGCCAGGAGCTATGATGTACCAAAGATAATATTGCTGAGGACAGCGGCTGCTATTCAAGCTGCGCCAATGCGTTCCCAACGCCTAGAGGCCTTTATTCAAATGTCGGACCTTGGTCAAAGCTACTGTAGCTCTCCTTCGACATTTTACATGTTTATATATTGCTAAATCCGTTATTCCTTTCATACGCCGGCCTTTTTCGTTTTGTTTCCAAACGACCTAAAACTTTAGCACTTCGTGCACACGTCAGCACCATCGATGTCATCGTCATCATGGCATCGCGGCCATCAGAACCTTCTGCGAAGGCCGCTGCACGCGCGGTCCGCGACGCCGACGTCACTTTCGGCGTTTAACTACGCGACCGCGCAGATAAAGCCGTGGCACATCCTGTGCGTTCTGGGCCTCGCGACGCAGCTCTACATCTTCCGCCAGTACGAGCTCGGTTGCAAGTGCCGCCACGAAGCGTACGCGTTACAGTACGGTTCCAACTCCGCCGGCGCCGGCGCGCAGCAGGGCTCGTACGGTTCTGCCGTCACTTCTCAGCAGGGAGCCAATGACGCGAACGGATGGCGGGGTGATGGAATGGGAGGGGGGATTCCGCACCGCGGGCAGCTGGAGACTTCCTGGCAGAACGGGCAGGAATTGAATTCACAGCAAAACTACCAGCAGCAGCAGCGGCAAAATCAGCAACAGGAGCAACGACAACCCTTTCAACAACAACAGCAGCAGCAGCAGGCAGTGGGGCAGGAGGAGCGGAAGCAGCACCAGCAAGAGCAGGCTCGTCAACTGACTAATCAAGGCGATCCACGTCAGCAGCAACGGAACGAGCAGAAGACATCTCAAATGGAGCCCCAGCCACGAGATCTTAACGGGTATGTGCAGAGATTACCCTTGATCAAACGGGTAAACAATGACCTGGTCCAGAGAATGGCACTCGTTGGGGAGTGTCGCCCTTTACATGTAGCATCAGCCGCGCTTGGCTTGTTTGTCTTGGCTTCCTTCTTTGGTTTCTACGTCCCTGGTTGTCTCACTCCACCTCCCCTTTCACTCCACCTCCCCTTTCACTCCACCTCCCCTTTCACTCCACCTCCCCTTTCACTCCACCTCCCCTTTCACTCCACCTCCCCTTCCACTCCACCTCCCCTTTCGCTCCACCTCCCCTTTCGCTCCACCTCCCCTTTCACTCCACCTCCCCTTTCACTCCACCTCCCCTTTCACTCCACCTCCCCTTTCACTCCACCTCCCCTTTCACTCCACCTCCCCTTACACTCCACCTCCCCTTTCGCTCCACCTCCCCTTTCGCTCCACCTCCCCTTTCACTCCATCTCCCCTTTCACTCCATCTCCCCTTTCACTCCATCTCCCCTTTCACTCCACCTCCCCTTTCACTCCACCTCCTCTTTCACTCCACCTGCCCTTTCACTCCACCTCCCCTTTCACTCCACCTGCCCTTTCACTCCACCTGCCCTTTCACTCCACCTCCCCTTTCACTCCACCTCCCCTTTCACTCCACCTGCCCTTTCACTCCACCTCCCCTTTCACTCCACCTGCCCTTTCACTCCACCTCCCCTTTCACTCCACCTCCCCTTTCACTCCACCTCCCCTTTCACTCCACCTCCCCTTTCACTCCACCTCCCCTTTCACTCCACCTCCCCTTTCACTCCACCTCCCATTTCACTCCACCTCCTCTTTCACTCCACCTCCCCTTTCACTCCACCTCCCCTTTCACTTTCCCTCCACCTCCTCTTTCACTTCACTCCACCTCCCCTTTCGCTCCACCTCCCCTTTCACTCCACCTCCCCTTTTCACTCCACCTCCCCTTTCGCTCCACCTCCCCTTTCACTCCACCTCCCCTTTCACTCCACCTCCCCTTTCACTCCTCCTCCCCTTTCACTCCTCCTCCTCTTTCACTCCACCTCCCCTTTTCACTCCACCTCCCCTTTCACTCCACCTCCCCTTTCACTCCACCTCCCCTTTCACTCCACCTCCCCTTTCACTCCACCTCCCCTTTCGCTCCACCTCCCCTTTCACTCCTCCCCTTTCACTCCACCTCCCCTTTCACTCCACCTCCCCTTTCACTCCACCTCCCCTTTCACTCCACCTCCCCTTTCACTCCACCTCCCCTTTCACTCCACCTCCCCTTTCACTCCACCTCCCCTTTCACTCCACTTACCTCGTTGACTCGCCGTAAGGGGCCTCACCGGGGTTTCTGTCCCGACTCCCAAGCCTCTTGTATGGCTCGCCCCAACGTCAGGCCCACGTCACGACTCACGTGCTCGGTGTGAGGCACAGAGGTCGGATGCACCCAGGTTGGTTGGAGGCAGGGCATTCCGAATCTTGTGCCTCCTTCCTTTTTTTACTCATTCCGCTCTTCGCCGCCCCTTGGGTCCTCACTCTCTGCCCATCTCAGCTGCATCTGGTGCGGCACGGCTCGTGCAAGCTGGAGAGTCGGTGAGCGATGGTAAAACCACACTCAACGTTCCAAAAACGTGGATTCATAATTCCTGTTCGAGTCCTTCCGTCCTCCTGGCAGAGTGGACGAATCCCAGATGCATCTGGTGCGGCATCACACACACGTGCACGCTGGAGCAGCGGTAAAGGAAGGATGGTAGAAAACCACTTTGGTGGAACCTTCTCCTTGCCCATGTTCAACCTTCTCCTTGCCCATGTTCTTCTGCTTTTGACAGGGCGGACGAGTCTCAGCTGCATCTCGTGCGGCACGACACGTGCAAGCTGGAGAAGGTGGGGGGGCGAGGGGGGGACGACTACGGTGCGTGGAGCCTCTGCACCAATCACGTGCGGCCAGGTGGCGTCGTGTACTCGTTTGGCATCGGCGCTGACGTGTCCTTTGACAACGGGATGGTGAACCGCGGCCATAAGGTGCGTGCTTGTTTCTTTATCAGTTGGAGTGGGGGGAGTGGGAGGCATAAGGTCTGTGATTGTCTTGTAGTGTGTTCCTCATTGCATTGTGCTTCATGGCCCATGCTGGACGCACATTGGTGTAGAGACAAAACAATCGGTTGTTTCCTGTTTTTGGCTTTCTGGGTTGCGTGATGCTCAACACGTGCACCGCGTGCACCGCATGCACCACATGCATCACATGCACCACATGCATCACATGCATCACATGCACCACATGCATCACATGCATCACATGCAACACATGCACCACATGCACCACATGCATCACATGCATCACATGCACCACATGCATCACATGCACCACATGCATCACATGCATCACATGCACCACATGCATCACATGCATCACATGCACCACATGCATCACATGCACCACATGCACCACATGCATCACATGCACCACATGCACCACATGCGTCACATGCATCACATGCACCACATGCATCACATGCACCACATGCATCACATGCATCACATGCACCACATGCATCACATGCATCACATGCACCACATGCATCACATGCACCACATGCACCACATGCACCACATGCATCACATGCATCACATGCACCACATGCACCACATGCGTCACATGCACCACATGCGTCACATGCATCACATGCACCACATGCACCACATGCGTCACATGCACCACATGCACCACATGCGTCACATGCATCACATGCATCACATGCATCACATGCACCACATGCATCACATGCACCACATGCACCACATGCATCACATGCATCACATGCACCACATGCATCACATGCATCACATGCACCACATGCATCACATGCACCACATGCACCACATGCATCACATGCATCACATGCACCACATGCATCACATGCATCACATGCACCACATGCATCACATGCACCACATGCACCACATGCATCACATGCATCACATGCACCACATGCATCACATGCATCACATGCACCACATGCATCACATGCACCACATGCACCACATGCGTCACATGCACCACATGCATCACATGCATCACATGCACCACATGCACCACATGCGTCACATGCACCACATGCACCACATGCGTCACATGCATCACATGCATCACATGCATCACATGCACCACATGCACCACATGCATCACATGCATCACATGCATCACATGCACCACATGCATCACATGCATCACATGCATCACATGCATCACATGCATCACATGCATCACATGCACCACATGCATCACATGCATCACATGCACCACATGCATCACATGCACCACATGCACCACATGCATCACATGCATCACATGCACCACATGCATCACATGCACCACATGCACCACATGCATCACATGCATCACATGCACCACATGCATCACATGCATCACATGCACCACATGCATCACATGCACCACACATCCGGGATTGGCACCCCGTCTTATTTCTCCTTTCTCACACCTGTCTTCTCGGCTTTCTTCTCTCTTTTCATCCTCTCCCCCATCTCTCCTCCAGGTGTTCGGATTCGTCCCCACAGTCCCTCCCGAGCGCGTGCAAGCCATGTTCAAGGACCACCACAATTAAAAAAAAAATCTGGGGTTTACAGGCCATGTTCCAGTTCCATTCGCACTCCATGTCTCTCTCTTCCAATTCTCTCCCCATTTTTTTTCTGCAGGTGTTTGGATTTGACCCCACAGTTCCCCCCGAGCGCGTGCAAGCCATGTTCAAGGACCATCACAGTCGCGACCAGCCGGCCGCCTTCCAGTTCCGTCAACTCGGCCTGGCCGGCACGGATGGCATCGTCACCTTCTTCCACTCCAAGAACCCGCGCGTGCAGTCCATGACGGCCGTCAAGCCAGAGAAACTTGCCGGCCGGTTCGAGAGTCAGGGGATGCCGGCGCCGGTGCTGCGATTGCCAACGTTTATGTGCGCGAACGGGCACGGATTCGTGGATGTGTTGAAAATGGATGTCGAAGGGGTGGAGTTCGATGTGTGCGACGCGTGGCTTCGCATGCGATCGCCGCTGCCGTTCGGCCAGATTTTGATCGAGTTTCACGATCGCATGGTGACGGATGCGAAGGCGCGAAAGGGCGCGTGCCTGCGCGCGCTGCAGCGGAACGGGTTCGTGGAGGTGTATGTGAGCGACAACTTTCAAGAAGCCACGTACGCTCGCATGGCACCCAAGGGATGAGGGCTTGGGAACTCGCGTCGCGTGTCTGCGTGCACTTGTGTGGGAGGTATTTCCTAACCTCGAGAGTGCAGAATTCATTTGGCTGGAGTCCCAAGGCCAGAGGTTTGATTAGAGTACAGTACACTGAACCGAGCAATGTATGATAATGCATTATCTACTACTACCCGGCATGGAGGACTTGTCTAGTGCAGTAGGTGGGAGAAGTATGGGACTATATTCTTGGCAGACAGCATATTGAAAGCACTCGACATATCAAGAGGTCTACGGTACCATAAGATGATTCACTCCCCCAAGGGTTTGGGACTATGTCAAGCAACCCATTGGTCAAACAAAATCAGCAATGTACACACACACGTGAACAGACAGACAGACTCACACACAGAAAACAGTTTTGCCTCAAATCCACAACCTCCAAGCCAGCAGTATAAAAATGGACACAAAATCCCTGGAACACTTGTTGGAGCGTTTGCTTTGCTGCCGCCTTGCTGTCGTCAAGTCTCATGTACCTTGCATGCAGTCCACAATGCACATGGGGACATCCATGCTATGTTGCATGTTGCAAGCAGGAGGATCATTGCCCAGCCCAGCATTACCATTACCACCCCCTCTCTTTCAAAACGCCAAGCGTCGCGTCGCGGCGCGAGCGTTACTGAAGTTGGTCTGCTTTGCTCTCCCTCTCCAAAGCGAGCAAGGAGGAGGCGTGTGGGATCAGATGATGAGCTGCACGGCCTGCACGACCAGGTAGAGCAGAGCGATGAAGAAGGCCGCCTGGTACAGGTCCTTGTTGGGGTCGCCCTGCTGGATGAACTGCAGCGAGGGGTGAAGGGGAGGGGGGTGAAGAGTGAAGGGATGGTGGTGGGATGAGAGGATTGGTTTGGGAGAAACAAGGCACGAGTGAACACAAGGCCGCCTGGTAGAGGTCCTTGTTGGGGTCGCCCTGCTGGATGAACTTCAGAGAGGGTCGAGGGGTTGAGGGGCGTGATAGGGGGAGGGATAGGGGGAGTGATAGGAGTGATAGTGGGAGTGATAGGGGGAGTGATAGGAGTGATAGTGGGAGTGATAGGGGGAGTGATAGGAGTGATAGTGGGAGTGATAGGGGGAATGATAGGGCTGGGGGAGTGACAGGGGGAGTGATAGGGGAGTAATAAGGGGAGTGATAGGGGGAGGGATAGGGGGAGTGATAGGGGGAGTGATAGGGGTATAGAGGAGTTGAAAGAGGCGTGGTGCAGATGAACAAGGCTGCCTGGTAAAGGTCCTGATGGGGCCGCTCTGCTAGATGAACTGCAGAGGAGGTGCTGGGAGTGGTTCGGAAGATAGCAAGGCAAGCATGAGGTGAACTGCAATGGGGGCGACCTGGGGGGGCAGTGAGCATGGCGAGGGAAGCTAAGCTACGATGGTTGGGATGGCAGGAACGGGAGTTAGATGAATGCGGCGACTGGTGCAAGTTGTGAGACGCTACGAACACAGCATGCTGATGTGGTTTGAGAGTTGAGAGGTCTCAAAACCAGAACCGGCATGGTACGAGGGCGATGATGGGTTGGGGTGGAGGGGATGGTGGGGCGAGGGGAGTTCGGTGAGGTTAATGGAAATGGCAGCGGTGGCTGGATTGGATGGGGATGATGGGATGATGGGATGACAGTAAGGCACGACCGCTGTTGCTTGATGGATGTTTGTGTGGATAAACTTTGAGAAGTCTCACTTGTCTGACTGGTTGCGTAAGAAAGACAGGGATCCGGGATGTGGATGCCTAGCGCATGTTGCTTTCCCCATTCCTCCTCAACTCCCCTCATCCCTCGCCCCCGATTCCCCCATCCCTCCCTCCTCATCTTCCCTCATTCGTCCTCCTCTAAACTCCCTCCCTCATACGAGCCAGCAGCTATTGCTCCATCTCCCAACCCACCCTCGACCTCGCACCTTCTCATCCCACACAGCCACACATGCACGCACGCACAGACCACCACAGGCACGCATACACACCACCGCTACACATACGCCCCGCACTACTATACACGCGCATTAGCACGCCCCGTCACCTACTCGTCTAGGGTCGCCGGACGGGTGCGGATAAATATAATTCGAGTCGCCGCCCCCGCTCTTGCTCCCCTCCCCCGACTTCTCCGTGACGTCTTTAATCGCCTCCGACGCGGCCCACGCGAGGCGCGACGCCCAGAACGCCAGCTGGATGGGCAGCGCTGAGCTGGCGACGTCCCATTGGTCGCGGTGCTGGATGACCTGGCCGCTGATCTGGTTGAGCGTGAAGGTTGACGTCACGCGCGCGTCCAGCAAGCCGCCCGGGATGACGAGGTACCCGCGCAGCTGCCAGGTGATCACGAGGACGCTCGTTGACTCCATTGACATTCCCAGCATGTGCTGCCACGTGGGGAGGCGGGGAGGGGAGGGGGAGAAGGGAGGGGCAAGGGGGGAAGGCCAAACAGTGTGTGCTCGTCGATTCCATTTACATTCCCAGCATGTGCTGCGATGGGGGAGGTCGGGGATGGGCGGGGAGGGAGGGAGGGGGAGGGGGGGGGAGGGGGAGGGGAAGGGGGGGGTAGGGGGAAAGTCCAGACGGTTGAGCTCGTGGATTCCATTGCCATTCCCAGCATGTGCTCGAAGGGAGCGGGTGTAAGTAAAACGGGGGTGGGGGGGGAGGGGGGAAGGGGGTGGGGAATGGGAAGGGGCGGTGGGGGGAAGGAAGGGGGAGGGGGTGGAGGGATGGGGGAGACGATGATGGAAAGCGAAAGGATGAAGGCGAGAAGGGGGATGGTCGAGTTGCAACCTGCTGTGTCGTTATGAATCGCAATGAACGACCCTGAAACGAGACCCCTAGTGTTGCTAGCCTAGTGTTTTCAGACGCCTCAAGCCTAGGTTATCTGCTTCCAAGTACGCACACATCGCGTCCGAAAGCCCCTAATTGACGAGGCTATTAGATAATTAAGTCTCTAACTTATTTTTGGTCATCATGTCACACGGCAGCGCCACACAAGTCGGAATAACATTACTGTGGAAAAACAAGAGATGAGAATACGAAGCGCGCTGCTGCCAAGCCTGCTACGCTTACCACTGAGGAGTTCTGAAGCGCGGCGCGGATCCACGAAAGGCGGCGGTATTTGTCGCGACCCGTGAAGGACCGAATCGAATCCTGTCGGAGCAACGATGTGAACAGATGGAAGAGCAGGAGACATACGACTTTTAGATTCGTACACCTGACTGGAGAAGCCTCAAACCGTGTTAGGAAGTCGGGACATTGCATGCGGGGAATTGTAAAACTTGAGGCTGTTAACAGTCCGGAGAAGCTAGTAGGAAAGTGTGTTTAGAGACGAAACTTATCCCGAATGCTGTCATTTTTCAAGGAGAATGTTTCGCCGGGAACAGACGTGTAATATCTTAACGCGCTAACTGTACACTGGTTTGAAGCACGTATGGCCTTACCGAGTATTTTAAATCAATGGCGAAACACGAGAGCGTCCGCTTGTCTTCGCGCATGTCGTGAATGTCTCTCGCCAGCTGTTTCGCCGTTCGCTCAACGGCGGGACTGCTCACGCACTCGAAATCATCGCACAGCTCCGCGAAAGTCATCCCTCGCACCAGCGTCGCCACCTCCTCGTCCTCGTCACTCTCCTCCCCGCTCCCGCCGCCGCCGCCGCCGCTGGCGGAGCCTCCGTCCACTGCGTCTTTCGTCGCCACGTGGCGTCTGGTGATTGGTCTTTTCGTCGCGTGGCAGATGCTGCGAGGGGGGAGAGGGTCGGAGAGCGGGGACGAGGCGTGCCGGTGCGACAGCGCGGAAGCTTCGGAGAGAGGAGCTCTGTTGCTGTCTGAATGATGGATGGCGGCCGAGACGCAGAAGCGTGGGGCCAGACCCGAAACTGCGCCAAGATTCGGTGACACTAACGAAGGCGCTCGTAACGGGGATAACACTAGGGACGACAATGCGGTGGGAGCGGAAACGCGAAGCGTGTCCATGGTCCCCTGTCCTTCAACCACAGCTTCTCACGGACTAGATCAACGGCGGCGACGCAAGCTAGTCCAAATTAAATCAGGTAATGAAGGAAAGATGATGACGGGAGAACAGACACCATAGAACAGCAGGTATGCTGGTAAACAAGAGACTCGTTCTTGGAATGAGACAGGAAGCAGCTCAGCTCCTCTTTACCGTTGGTTGGTCAGTCGTTCAGCATGAATGAGCAGGAAAGTGGAACTTCATCAGAACATTCTTTGTAATATTGCGGTTAATTACGGTGGGGAACGGTACTTTGAATACAGGTACGTTTTCACGCATTACGCAACGGTGAAATTAGCACTAGTTTTTCTTGTATCGCGTGGCAAGTGCGATTGGCGATGGCGGGCGAAGCTGCTCGTGCTGCTTCTGAAATGGCGTTCTGCTTCTCGTCGTCGTGCGTCAACCCTCGTTAGAGTCAAGTCGCCGAGCTCTCTGGAACATCCGTGATCCACGTTCCCGTGAGTGCGTGGCAGCCGTTGTAAGATGCTGACTGGACTGCCATGTCATTTGGTTCAAAAGATTATTACGGACTGAAGCTGAAATGGACGGTGATCGAAGCGGATGGGGACGTGTATCAAGAGCAGCAAGACGTGGACAGGAAAGTGGCAATTTCCAACCACTAGAAATGCTTTTGCCACCTGACCTAACGAGTAGGAGAATAAAAATGTTCTGTTTAGAGTTTTCAGTGAAGTGTTTTCGTGAAACGAGATTAGGACATGCTCAACGCATCTACTCCTCTAGTGCGTACAATTTCTTACCAAAGCTGTCTGTTTTCGCTAAAGCGGATTCACCAGTATGGCTTCACTTTCACTGGTACCCTCCAGCTTCGCAGCCTCCGCAATCTGCGGAGAGCGTGCCGGCCTCCGTCCGGCAGCTTCGCCGTCGATCGCTTTTTCCTCCGCAGGCTCTTCTTCTTCCTACCCTGTGGTTACCGCATTTGCCGGTCGTCAGTCGCAGGGTGCGTCGACGTCGCAAGGCGGCAACCCTTTCGCCGACCTGAAGCGAAGCTTTCCGCTTGGCAGCAGCGCGGCAGAACCATTGGACGGGCGAGACGATAGCGATTTGGGTATTGGCGGCTCTAAAAGGGACGCCGACGATTTCGTGATTATTCGCAAAAGTGATTCTAGCGGAAGTACAGGTCGAGAGTCACGAACCGCGGGTGGCGGAGGCGGTAAGCGAGGAAGCGCGCCGAGCCGAAGCGCACCTTCCGGGAAAAGCGGAAGCCAACAAGGAGGAAAGAGCCCAGCCCCGGCGAAGGGTGGCGGAGTAACGGTGCAGGCGACGCGACGCGGACGTGGCGGGAAAACGGTGACGGTGGTGGAGGGGCTGCGATTGGCGGGCGGCGATGCTGAGGTGGCAGCTCTGCTGAAGAAGCTTAAAGTGGCGCTCGGGAGTGGCGGGGCCGTGAAAGACGGATGCATTGAACTGCAGGTGAGGGGGGGAGTGAGGGAGGGGAAGGAGTCAGGGATGGGGGAAGGGAATGGGAGACTTGGGAAAGGGAGTGGCGGAGGCGTGAAAGACGGATGCATCAAACTGCAGCTGAGGGGGGCAGTGAGGGGTGGAGTGAGGTGAAGGAGGGAGTGAGGGAGTGATTTGAGGGAGTAGCGGGGCAGGGGGGGGAGAAGGGAAGGGAGTGAGAGAGGGAGTGAGGGAAGGGAGTGACAGAAGGAGTGAGGGGAGGGAAAGTTTGGTCTTGAAGGACCAGTGCTTGGAAGTGCTGGTGGGGGATTGAGTGAATGAGGCACTGAGGGAGTGAGGGAGAGCGTGTGGGAGGGAGAGAGGGTGAGAGTGGCGGTGAGAGTGTGGGGAGGGGCAGATTAAGCCTGCGGTCATGGCAGCCACTGGAGGCGATTGGGGTTCGGCTTTGAGTGGTAAACAAGAGTGGACAAAATAGAATGTTATGAGAACTATTGGACCATGCTCACAGATGCAGTGCAAGAACCTAAAGCTCTTTAGATAATCCAGAGGTAAGAAGCTGGAGCTAAGAAGTTCAAGAAGGCTGGAGTATGCACTACTGCCTTGTCATTATTCTCTTTCCTTTGTGCTCCTTCCAGCCACGTTTCTTTTAACATAGAACACTTCCAAATCATCTTGGTTAATGTATTGATGGAAGGGGTCTCCAACCTATATATACCGTTTTCTCATTCCTCTGACAGGACCTGATCCCAAGTTGACGGTCAGAGTTCGAATCTCGCTGGCGATGAAATGAATTCTCCGACGGAGTGGATGATCCACAACCCGTTATCCACCGAAGAGTTAGTCCCTGGCGGGCATGTCAGGCTGACGAGGAACGGAGACCCATATGAGCCATCAGCTTTTGCCTTCTTACCCTTCTGTTTAGTAGCTTTTACCTTCTTGCCCTTCCTTTCCTCCCATGACCCCGTTTTAGAAGTATTTCTTCTGTGTTGTTTGTGCTAACTCTCTCACATCCTCACCTGTACGCACCATCACCTCCTTTACTTATTATCACCCCTACCCCCTGTATGCCCCTTCAACACTCCCATCCCTACCATAACCTCCCTTCTATCCTCCCACGCCCTCCCCCCGTTCTTGCTCTCCTCTCCTTCGCACTCTCTCCTAATCCTGTCACCCCTTCCTCCCCTTGCATCTTCCTCGCTGAAATGGAGTAAGATCTAGAATTGCTGGCTGCCGCACACCCGCTCATAATTGGCTTCCACCCACATGCATCCCCTAGGTCACTCAATCATTGCATGGGTCATTGCGCATGGGTCATTGCGCATGGGTCATGACGAATGGTCATGACACATGGTGCATAATGCATGGTGCATGGGTCATGACGAATGGTCATGACACATGGTGCATAATGCATGGTGCACGGGTCATGACGCATGGTCATGATACATGATGCATGATGCATGGTGCATGCGTCATGACGCATGGTCATGATACATGGTGCATAATGCATGGTTCATGGGTCATGGCGCATGGTCATGATACATGATGCATAATGCATGGTGCATGGGTCATGGCACATGGTCATGATACATGGTGCATAATGCATGGTGCATGGGTCATGGCGCATGGTCATGATACATGGTGCATAATGCATGGTGCATGGGTCATGGCGCATGGTCATGATACATGATGCATAATGCATGGTGCATGGGTCACGGATGCATGGTGGAGGAGATGCAGTGATCCGCATTGGCTGCAGTGATCCGCATTGGCTGCAGTGATCCGCATTGGCTGCAGTGATCCGCATTGGCTGCAGTGATCCGCATTGGCTGCAGTGATCCGCATTGGCTGCAGTGATCCGCATTGGCTGCAGTGATCCGCATTGGCTGCAGTGATCCGCATTGGCTGCAGTGATCCGCATTGGCTGCAGTGATCCGCATTGGCCGGTTTGATTGGCCTCATTGACCTGCATTGACCTGCATTGACCTGCATTGACCTGCACTGACCTGCATCACGCACACCCGTGACCCATCCCCAGTAACCCACAGTGACCCGCAGTAACCGCCGTTACCAGCATTGACCACAGGGATCACCAGCCCTCCGCCACACGAACCTTCTCTTAGAACTTTCTGGCTGGCAATGAGCAGTGCTCTTCTCATACCGTCCCTGGGTGCACAAGACACTGTGCGTCATGCTGCCCTGATGCGCCCTGGGCAGCAGGGCGCACAATACGCTTACAGCTGTTTGCTCAAGGTTACATTGCAGGCAGTGTGTGGCGAAGCAAACGTTGGCTGTTCAAGCCAAGAGGAGTGTGGGGAAGGAGAAATAGACACTGCTATTTTATGCACCTGTTAGATACTGAAGCTGACACTCTCTCCCCTCTCCCTGTGTCACCCTTCCCCCATCTTCCCCCCCTCACTCCCGCCCTCTCGCCCCCATCCAGTCCCCATCCCATCATGCTGTGCTGGCAGGGGGACGTGGCAGAACGAGTGGTGGAGCTGCTGGGAGGGATGGGCGTTGAGGCTAAGAGGAGTGGGGGGGAGGGGAGGTAGAAACTACTCTTTTATGCACCTGTTAAATACTGAAGCTGGCACTTCCCCCCTGCCTCCCTTTCCTCTCTCTCTCCCTCCTTCCCTCTCTCTCCTTCCCCCCTCCCCTCCCTCCCTCCCTCCCTGCCCCCATCGCTTCCCCATGCTCTCGTGCTGTGATGGCAGGGGGACGTGGCAGAGCGAGTGGTGGAGCTGCTGGGGGGCATGGGCGTTCAGGCTAAGAGGAGTGGGGGGAAGGGGAAGTAAACGCACCATCAGGTATATTCAGGGCAGCCACAGAGGGCGACTGGGGCCTCTGACACAGGGCACAGCTCAACGCTTCTGGTATGACTGACTGGTAAACAAGAGTGGGCAGAATGAGGAGTTATGAGATTTATCAGAGTGTGGCAACAGGAGATGTGCAAGAACCGCGACTAGGATAATCCTGAGGTGATTATCTTCCTCGTCCTAGCCATACAAGTCAAACATTGTGCAATAACCATTTCAAAATTCATTGTACTAGGTCATTTTCAGACTGGTTTTCACGTGACCTGTTCCGAAGTTGACGGTCAGGGTTCAAATCTCGCTGGCGATGAAATGAGTTCTCCGACGGAGTGGATGATACCCAACCCGTTATCCACCGAAGAGTTAGTCCCTGGCGGGCATGTCAGGCTGACGAGGAACGGAGACCAATATGAGCCACCATTTTTTGCACACTTTCCCTGCCATTATCATTTGTTCACCCATACTTCCATTTCCAGCTCGCGCTATGCCCCTCTTTGCGACAAAGTTGGAGATTCTTGTGCATTGTGCTGTCTCGCCCTCATCCTCACCTTTCATAAGCATCGCGTCTGACACAGTTTTCCTTATACTGCCTACCACTAATCTTCCCGTTCCCACTATAGCCTCCCAATAACTATCCCACTCCCCTCTCCCTCACCTCTCCCTCGCTCTCCTCTTCGTTGCCCTCCTCTCTCTGGTTCTTGCATCCATCCACTGCCTCCACAGCCATCCTTGAGCATAGGTCATGGTGCATGGTGCATGATGCATGATGCATGATCCATGGTGATGGTGCATGGGGCATGGTGCATGGTGCATGGTGCATGGCGTATGGTGCATGGTGCATGGTGCATGGGTCATCGCGCATGGTGGATGGTGCATGGTGCATGGTGCATGGTGCATGGTGTGTGTTGCATGTTGCATGGTGCATGGTGCATGGTGTGTGTTGCATGTTGCATGGTGCATGATGCATGGTGCATGATGCATGGTGCATGATGCATGGTGCATGATGCATGGTGCATGGTGCATGGTGCATGGTGCATGGTGAATGGTGCATGGTGTGTGTTGCATGTTGCATGGTGCATTGCGCATTTGCATCATGCATGGCTATGGCTCATGTCTCATGCGTCATGCCTCATGACTCATGCCTCATCTGCAATACCTGCCCTCGCCCCCTCTCTTGATGATTCAATCACATGTATATTACCTCCTTGCCGCCGTGACCCTCGTTGACCTCCATTGACCTGCAGTACATCTGATTTTTCTCGCATTGAACCAAGATGGACCCACATTGACCTGCAGTAACAAGCAGTTATCCGTATTGGCTCACACCGACCCACAACAACCTGCAGTAGCTTGCAGTTAGCCGTGTTGACCCTCATGGCCCTCAAGAAGCTGTTCATCTGCTGTCTATGCTCGTAAAAACCACCAATGCGCTCACATGGCGGGTAGGGCGCATGGCGCACTGTCTACGTGTGGGTTGCAGGCAGAGTGGCAAAGCGACTGCTGCGTGGGAGGAAAGGAATTTAGCTTGAGAGCACACGTTTGGAAGAAACCCCTCCTATCTACAACCACCGAGTTCCTTACAATCCTTCCTTTCCTTTTTCCCTTTACCCCTCCCTCTTCTCCGCCCAGATCCCCCTCCACCTCCCTCCTCCTTCCCTCCCTCCCTCCCCTCCCTGCCACCCATTCTTTCCCCGTGCTCTCCTGCTGTGCTGGAAGGGGGGAGTGGCAGAGCGAGTGGTGGAGCTGCTGGGAGGGAATCGGCGTGCAGGCCAAGAGGAGCGGTGGGAAGGGGAATTATACATTTTTCTAGATTCGTGTTCAATCTGTTATGCAGAAGCGATAAGGGGAAAAGCAGAGTGGGTGCAAAGGGAAGTATGCATTTTCCAACGCCCAATGGCGCCAGCCAGCGCCTAACGGCGCCTGCGCTCGCAGCGCCCGCTCGCAACGGCGCCAGCGTGAAAGGCGCCAGTGCCCAATCTCGCCTGCGCCTTACGCGGCAGGCAGTGCCCAACGGCGCCTGCGCCTTACGGGGAGGAGCGATGGTGGGGGTGGCGGCGGCGGGGTGTGAAGGAAAGGCGACGGTGGGGGGAGAGGATACGGAGGGGAGTGAGGGAGAGGCGAGGGTGGGGAGTGAGGGAGAGGCGACGGTGGGGAGTGAGGGAGAGGCGACGGCAAAGTGGGAGTGAGAGGTGACGACGGCAAGGTGTTACTACGGTAGAACGCAATAGCTGGGTGGGAGTGGCGACGGCAGGATGGGCGATGGTTAGGTTGGGGAGAAAAGGGCAGAGAGAGCAGAGTAGAGCAGGTGTTCAAATTCAAGAAACCAAGACGAGACAAACTTAGAATTTGAGTTGACAGTGGGGAATGCAGGAAGGTTTCGTTGGGGTTTGTTGAATTTGTGTGGCGCTTGCAAGAAAAATCTATGTGGCGCTGGCAAGAAACTTTTCTGCACACTGGCAAGAATATTTTCTGCCAGATGAGAACGAGGCCTAAAAAGATTTTCAAAACAGCAGTACAACGACTGAAGGACTCAGCCGCTAGCAGGACGGACTGGAGCTTGGAAGGTGGAAGTAGCAAGAAACTGTAAGTGCTAAGAAAACTCTGGATCCGGGTAAAACGCCCTGATTACCCTGGGGGGCTGTCCCTTTTTCAGGATTACCCTGCCGAAATCAGGATTGCGCTATAGTTACCCTTCTCATAAAAGTGCATGTTTTTTTTTTACCCTGATAGGTTTTTAGCTTACCCTGGCGGAATCAGGGTTGGGTGTACACTACCCTGTTACCGAATCTGTTCTAACGCGAACCTGACTATAGTCCGCGTGGTGACAAAACGTACAACACCCCCACAAACACCCGTTGTCGCTCGTGCCCACGCGCACGGAAACTTGCTGCGTACGGTACTTGGCATCACGCCAAAAATCCGCATTGGTTGTTTCTGCCGCAGGGCTGCCACCAATGATTGCACCTCGTCAGTTTTCGCCACGCCCACCGCCATCACAGCAGAATTGGCTGTCAAGGACAGCTTTAAGCCAGTTGCAGCCTCAGTGCTGCCTTGCTGGCCATCACAGGGCCCGCCCCGTGGAACATACTGCCCTGTCGAGGCTGCCAGAGGCGCCTTCTCTACGAGGGGGTCTCTCGCTTGGCCCTCGTTGTGCATGCATGTGGTGCGTGCGACGCACCCTCAGATTCACTTTTTGGGACGTTGATGCATCAGGGTCCCTGTGAAAAAAAGGCTGATTTTCAGTGTTACTACAAAAAAAAAGCCTGATTTTCCAGGGTTCTCGAAAAAAGAACACTGATTATTTTCCACAAGATATCCTCAAAAGAAACACTTATCTAAGCCTACTGTGCCAGCTTTGGTAATCAAACCTCCGACTTTCACCTTCGACAGCGAATTCACTAACAACTAAGACACTCGAAGACTTCCTATATTAGTTTGCAATTTATTCGACCAAAATCTGTTTGAGTGCTGGTCACCTCGGGCGTTTTTCAGGAAGGAGTCCGAATGTGCATTCAGTGTCAACTTCGATAAAAGACTGAAAACTCAGTGTTCACTACGAAATGAAGGCTGAAAAATCAGCCTCACAAAAATCTACACACTGAAATATCAGGGTAGGTACACAAAATTAGGCTGAAAATCAGGAATTTCAGGGAAAAAATTCTCAAGAGTGGTTAGCAACGGAATGTTGGGAATAGAAACGAGTGGGGTACAAATAAGCAACCCTAGAAACTGTACCCCCTAGAGTACAACTCACTACAACCTATCATATCAATGTTCAACATTTGACACACCCCCATAGGCTAAGTGAGGGGCATCAAAGCAAGCAAGGTGAACAAACGGTCACAAGACCAGTCAAAGCAAGAACCAAGACAAGCTCAGGGTGGATCTCAAGGACACCACACAAATTCCGAGCACAAGCAAGCGGCCACAAGGCCAGTTCAAGAGGTCACTAGGATATATATAGGAAAACACAACAAGCAGAGAAAGCACCAAGTCTACAGCAACCGAGGGCCTACCTCAACAAGCCCCAACTGCACACAGAACCTGTGGTGGTCACCAAGCGCCAGGGCCTTGGTGAAAAGGTCTGCAGTGTTGGCCTCTAAGGCCACAAAGTCCAGGCGTGCCTGGCCGCGTCGCTGCAGCTCTCGCAGGAGGAAGTACCTCACGTCAATATGCTTCACTATGCTCTCCAGTCGAGGCTCTCGACAGAGGAGGATCATGGCCTTGTTGTCAGCGTACAAGGTCGGTGCAGAGCGAGGCCGCTCACCAAGGTCGGCGAGCAAGAAGGTCAACCAGAGAAGCTCCTGTGCCGCCATGGCACTAGCGTAGATCTCTGCCTCTGCACTGGAAGTAGCCATAGACGACGACCGTGTAGACCTCCACGACACAGCACCAGCTCCCAGACTGAAGCAGTAACCCTGAGTCGAGCGCTGAGTCTCCACGTCGTCAGCGTAGGAAGAGTCGCAGTGACCAGTCAACGCCACTGGCTGAGTCCCTCCAAGCACAAGCCCCATGCCTGATGTAGTCGCCAGGTACTTCGCCACCCTCACAGCAGTTGTCCAGTGGACAGGACGGTGTCTCCCAGTCGCAACAAAGCGAGAGAGGACGCTGAGGGGAAAGGCGAGGTCCGGCCGAGTACAAGTCATCAGGTACATGAGGCAGCCCACCAGCTCTACGTAGGGACCACTGGACTCAAAAGGCTCGTCGAGAAAGGGGCCAGTGAGTCTGTGGTCAACAGCAAGAGGAGTGGGCTGTGTGGTGGAGAACTGGAAGTCGAACCGCCGAAGGACCTGCTGCACCATGTGTGACTGCGTCAGTGTGATGGTGCGAGCGGCTCTGTCCCGGGTGATCTGCAAGCCAAGGTAACGCTGCAGCTCACCCAGGTCAGTGCACTTGTGTCTCTTCTGCAGTTCGGACTTCACCTGAGCCAGGGCTGCCCTGTCTGCTGTAGCAAACACCAAGTCGTCGACGTAGACAAGGATAAAGAAGGGAGTAGAACCCGCTCGAACAAACAGCGACGGGTCGGCGGAGGATGGGCTGAACCCAAGGTCACGAAGCGTGGAGCGAAGAGTGTCGTGCCACTCACGGGGCGACTGGCGGAGACCGTAGACTGGTCGCCTCAGGCTCCACTGGGTCCCAGGGGGGAAGGTGTCAGTGAAGCCAGGAGGACGGCGCAGCCAGATCTCCTCGTGCAGTCGGCCCTGGAGGAACGCAGTGGAGAAGTCGAGGGAGTGCAGCTCGTAGTCTCGCTGCGCTGCTATGTGGAGTAACACCCGAAGAGTAGTCATCTTCGGGGTCGGGGCAAAGGTCTGGAAGAAGTCAACTCCCTCACGCTGATTGAAGCCCCTAGTCACGTAGCGCGCCTTGAACACCGGCGGTGCTCCAGGCGGCCGCTTCACCTTGAAGAGCCACATGCGATCGACTACGTTCGCCCTGGGAGGGGGAACTGCGTCGACGTAGGTGCCTGTGGATCTCCAAGACGCCAACTCTGAGTCCATAGCCGCTTTCCACTGAGAGGCCCACGCCACTGACACTGCCTCGCGGTAAGTGCGAGGAGTCGGTATGTCAAGGGCGTCGGGGTCTCCCTCAGGGGAGAGCAGCATGGCACACACAGAGGGAGAAGCGGCTGCCCAGTACTCCAGCTCAGACTCTCTGTCCTCTAGGACGTCACAGCCAAGGGCAAACTCACCCCCGACGGACAGAGGACGGTAGGGAGGAGCTGGCACCACACGGGTGGCGTAGTCAAGGCGGCTGGCGGCAGCAAACTCAGCGACAACGGCAGTGAGAGCAGAGACCGACGACGGAGGGAAACGAGAGTCGGTGACAAGAGTGGCGAGAACACGTGCGGCAACAGGACGAACAGTGCGGTAGTAGTCAGTGATAGGAGTGGGGAGGGCTGGGAGAGAGGACGGAGGAGGAGACGGGAGAACGGACACAGGAGAAAGAGAACGACGACGAGACGTACAAAGGAGGGCAGTGTGGAGGTCAGTAACAGGGGACGAGTGACGAGCACGCGGAGGACAACGAGTGACCAAGTCGCGACGGACCGAAGGAGGAGGAGACTAGGGAGGAGGAGAAGACCAGACCGCCGGACGGTCGTCAGGAGGAGGCAACGGAGGAACAAACACAGGAGGAGACTGGGAGCGGACAGGAGGAGAGGAGGAAAAGCCAAGGGCCCGCAGGCCACTCACAGGTGGGAACAACTGCCGCTCCAGAGGAAGCTGCGGCGGCGGCTGCGGCTGCTGCTGCTGCGGCGGCGGCTGCGGCTGCGGCTGCTGCTGCTGCGGCTGCTGCTGCGGCTGCTGCTGCTGCTGCTGCTGCTGCTGCTGCTGCTGCTGCTGCTGCTGCTGCTACTGCTGCTGCCGCTGCTGCTCCAGAAGGTCCAGCACCCGCAGCTCCTGCCGCTCCCTCTCCAACCGCTCCTGCTCCTCACGCTCACGCCGGCGGGCAGCCTGGAGTCGTGTGTCGTGGCGGTGGGGAGGCGGAGTGGACTCCGCAGAACCAGGGTCAGACTCCTCAGACTCAGCACCCCCAGAACCAGCACCTCCAGTGCCAGGACCTCCAACTCCAGCACCTCCAGAACCAGCACCTCCAGTGCCAGGACCTCCAACTCCAGCACCCCCAGAACTAGCACCACCAGTGCCAGCACCTCCAACTCCAGCACCCCCAGAACTAGCACCACCAGTGCCAGCACCTCCAGCTCCAGCACCCCCAGAGCTAGCGCCACCTGCGCCAGCACCTCCAGCTCCAGCACCCCCAGAGCTAGCGCCACCTGCGCCAGCACCTCCAGCTCCAGCACCCCGCGACCGAGTACCCCCAGACCTAGCACCGCCAGTGGCTGCACCTCCAGCTCCAACACCAACCGAGTCCACAGTAACCTGTCGCGGAAGTGCCGAAGGCTGCTGAGGGGACTTTGAGGAGGACTGCGGGGAGGGAGACGCTACCTGACGCGCGACCGAGGGTAGAGGGGTAACGTGGGACACACCAGACGGGGCAGGACTAGGGGGGGGCGGGGGTACCGGAGGAGCGGGAGCAGGAGGAGGAGAGGGTGCGAGGAAAAGAGGGGGAGGGGGTACCGGGAGACCTCGACAGGGGTACCGGGTGTAGTAGGACACGGACTCGTCAAACCGGACGTCACGGGAGTCGAGGAACTGGTGGAGGGGAGGGTGGTAAAAGGACCAGTCGG